GTAGGTGGTGGTCTTCTTGAGCGTGTACTGGCACCCACAGGCCTCATCCTCTTCCATGATGCCCTTGCTACTGACCGAGGGCACACAGGTGTTGGCACCCGAGTGGATGCCAGAGTCATAGGTGTATGTCTGCTGCCACTCAGTCACCTTGATGGGTTGTTCGATCAGGTTCATCACTTCCATGGCGGCTGCTGGGGACACAAAGGAAGGACAGGAAATCAGCTGGTTCCAGGGAGGCATCCCATGATCTGGCCCAGCCCCCAGCTTCAGCCCATCCCCAGGCCCAGGGAGGGACTGCCCACAATGGGATACCCAAGTGTGAGTCCTGGGCTTAGACCTCTAACCTCCAGCCCAGGGTGGAGCGGTGGTGGGGGGACACTGGGGAGCAGGGCAGGCCTTGTAGACAGCCCACGTGGGCAGTGGGGCAGTAAAGAGCCAGATGCCCCAACCCAGCCCTGGGCTCACTCACCTTGCTGTCCCCGCCCAACACTCCCAGAGCAAAAGGCACTCAGGACCTCCAGCAGCTTCTGGGGTCCTGCACACCCACCCCCATGCATGGGGCTCTCTGGGAAAGTCTCTGGTGAGGCACCTACACCCCAGGCATTGGACAGGAAACTGGGTGGGGCAGGGAGGCAGTCTGACAGGTTTCTCTGGAGAGCCCCAGAGGCTGCTGGGAGCCGTCAAAGGCTCCCTTGGAGACTCCAGGATCTCAGGATCTTTCCTGAAGATGGGGCAAGGATCACAAGTGACCCCAGAGGCCCAAGCCCTGAGATCCCTGTCTCTCCAGCACCCCAGCTCCTAGAAGCCTTTTCCAGAATTCTGAGCCCCACTGACCAGTTCCAGTATCAGCCACATACTACTGGGCGAATTCACCTCTCCGCAGAGCCCAACCCTCATTTGCAAAATGGGGTAACACCACGTCCCTCACAGGCTGTCGTGAAGGCTGGATTTGTAGAAGACCCAGCCTGGTGCCAGGCACATAATAGGTGCTCAGTCTTGGTGGCCACGGCCATGCACGTGGCCGTGGCCATATAGCAACACTGTCTCTCCCTCGGAGGGGTTTTCTCACTTCCTGGCCTCCTAGAACCCAGACTAGAGATAAGGGGTGGGGCAGCCCCGAAGGGGGGTCACTGCTATTCAGGTACCCCTTCCTCCCCCTGCAGAGACTTGGGGGCACTTGAGGTTCACGAATTGCTGGGCCCTACTGCGGACCCCTGGTGAATTCTCACTTGGTCTGTTGGGCTTCCCTGTCTCGGGAGCTGACCTCCAGAGTCCAACCCCTGGGAGGAGAGGCAAGGGAAGCTGTGCTCCAGGGAGGGCCTGCCCTGTGCCAGAGCGTTCACGAACGCCGTCATCCGCACAAGCAGGTGCTCCCCGCTTTACGGACAGGGAAACTGAGGCTCCACCAGGGCAGGTGGCACAGCAGAGAAATGGCAGAGCTGGGACCAGGCAGAGGCGTGAGGGATAGCCCAGTCTGTGGCCTCTGCACACGCAGTGTGGCCTCAGACAGCAAACAGACCACAGGCCGGCCCACCCACGAAGGCGGACGCGACGCAGCCCCTCAAACCTACTGTCCCCATCGTGACGGGGAACTGGGTAAGGCCCAGGGTGGTTGGGCTGGCTCAGGCAGGCCCCACCCCGGGAACAAAGATCAGCAGGGTATGTCTTCCCAGGGCCACCCTCAAGGAGGAGGACGAATGATCCTCAGGCCTCCCTGCCTTTTACCTGACACGGGTTCCTTCCCTGCCTGTGAGCATACCTGAACAGGCAGAGGCAGGAGCCAGACTGGCTCCCAGCCGCCTCCTTCCTCTCCTCCCTTCACCCCAAGTGACTCAGAGTTTCGAGCTGATAAACAGAAGCAGGCCCAGAACGCACCAGACAGCAGGCTGGGTGCCACCAGCTGCACCCAGCTGCTTCCCAGGCACCGGCTATTTCAGGAGGAGCCCCCCGCCCCCGCCCTAACCACACACTGGAGGTGGGAGAGAGAAAGAATGGAGAAGTTTGGAGAAGCAAGCCTGTCACAGAGCCGCCCCTGGGGAGGAAAAGACCCTGGGGAGGAGGCCTTGGACATCCCAGTGCTGCCGAAGGGAGGTAAAACTCCATCAGGATGTACAGCTGCACTGACCACTACGCCAGGCAGAGGGCGGAGCCCCCATCTGGGCGCTGAGCCGTATAGTCAGATCTGCTCAGGACAAATTGGAAATCTCCAGCCCGGATCATAAGAACGCTCCATCTAAGCCAGGAAGAGCCCCTCCCCAGCAGAGACCGCCGCCTTCCCCTGGGGCTCCTCAGCCCAGCCAGAGGGGCGCAGGCCTCACCCTGAACCTCAGAGATCACCCCCCACCACCACCACTTGCCAGCCCCGTATCCACGGGGACCACCGAGGCCAAGGCTGGCCACAGGAGGGGCATTTTCCCAGCAGGCCCCTCACCACCCCCCCCACACCCCCGCCAGCCGCAGGCCTGGAGCCAAGAGAAGCTGAGGGCTGGCGGCTGCCCAGGGCGAGACAGAAGCCACAGGGAGGTCAAAGGATCCATGGGGGAAGGGACACTCAGCTGCTTTTACTGTCAAATGAATCTCACGCTTCCCTCAAAGCCACCCTGGCGGGCATTTATCCACACCCAATTTCCAGTTGAGAAGACTGAGACACCACCCTGAGAACAGGGCAGTGCTCTGCCCAGATTGGGTCAGCCTCGCTGCACATCGGCCTCCAGCCCGCTAAACAGGGCTGCTCCCCTGGCTCCTAACAGGGGACGCCCTGCGGTCAAGGGGAGCGGGCGGCTGGGGCGTGGGTAGAGCGGAGCCCCTACGAGTGGGCGGAGAGGCTGGGGAGGCCAAGGGGACTCACAGCTGGAGGCAGAGCACTGGCTACGAAATCAGGCATCCCAGCTCGCCACAAGCTTACTGGTGTCCTTAGACGATTACTTGCCCTCTGTGCTTCATCCACAGAAAGAGTGGCCCAGCTGATCTCAGAGGAACGTTGATTATCTAAGACTCAGGCTTCCCACGACAGACAAGAGAAGGCTGAGGGTGGGCCAGGGGAGGGACGGCACACAGTTCAGAGAGGACACACACCAGAACGCTTCTCGAAGAAAGGATCCCGGGGTGAGCTCCTCCTGCAGCAGGAAGGCTAGGAGTCAGACCTCAGGCAGGACTGTCAGGCCGCCCCACCTTCCTCCTCACCAGCTCCCAGGAGAACCAGGGGCATTCTATCACCAAGAAACAAAAGTGCTGTTTGGGCAGTTCCCAGGGTGGAGCGGGCCGCGCCCAGCTTGGTCTCACCCCTCTCCACCCTGGACCCGGCGCGGGACCTGCCCCAATGCCCCCCGGAAAGAGCCAGGGTGGAAGCAGGCGAGACAGGCACGGGCCCTGCCCACGCGCTCCGGCCAGAGCCGGGCAGAGCCAGACACGGGGGGCCTTTGTTTAGCAGCATGCTCTACTGTGGGCAACAAGATCACAGCGTGGGGTGGGGACAGCACCGGCGACAGGAAGAGGAGCCTGGGCCCTGGAGAAGGCGCGCCAAGGAGCCTCCCCACAGAGGTCCCCAACTGGGTAGGAGTGTGCAGGCGAGCTTCGGACACACCCTGCCCTTCATTCCTGCTTCCTCCCCAGCGTGGCCACCTCAGCAGGCTGCCCCTGGGCACCCTAAGTCCAAGATGGTCCCGGGACAGTGTGGTCCAGTCCTGACACTCAAAATAACCGCCACGGGGTGGGGCGGGGCGGGCTGGCTGGCTCAGTCGGAGGAGCGAGCAACTCTTGACCCCGGGGCTGTAGCTTCTAACCCCATGTCGGGTGTAGCCATTGCTTAAAAATAAAATCTTTTTTAAAAACTAAATAAACAACAACAACAAAAAACACCCTGCCACCAACCTACTGCAGGCCCCTGCCCCCACCAGCACCACCGTCAGTAAAACACCTAGAAACAAGGGCCGGAATGGGCCGCCCAGGAGGCCTGCTGGAAGGAGGCTTAGACACACTGCATGAGGGAGCTAGAAGAGCAGGCAGGGCCCTCCAGAAGTTCCCTGGGCCAGAGGCCAGCAGCCATGCAGACGCTCAGTGATACGGGCTCAGTGACAGAGGAGGGGGCCTGTGGGCAGGGCAGGAGAGCCTGGGAGTCAGGGGAGAGGATCCTTCCAGGCCCGCCACCCACTGGCTATGTGCTCTCAGACAAGTCACCCGATTTCCTTAAGCCTCATGTTCCTCATCTGCAAAGTAGAGATGATCAAGCACTCCTTTCTTGAGACCACATGTGGTTCGTGGATCTCACACAGCCGGGACCGCGGAAGCCCTCTGTCCACAGTAAAGGCCCAGGCCAGCTCTCTTGTATTAGCCAAGCCAAGACATGGCAGAGGAGGAGGCCAGCAGAGTCGGGCCTGGCAAGGGGGCGAGCAGCCGGTCTGCTTTTTGGGACCCAGGACCAGGGAGGGTGTCTGCCTTCCAGCCCCAGGCCCGAGCCCCAGGACTAGGGTAGGGTGTGGCTGGGGAGAAGGAGTTATGTCTGGTCCAGGAGGGGAGACACTGCTCTCCCACTGCCCTCTGCTCTCTCCTCTCCCCAGTCACATGAGCTGCTTCCTGCATCCAGGGGTGGCCAGGCCAGTCAGGCCGGGACATTCCCCACATAGCAGTCCCAGGAGAGAGGCTGGGCTGAGCAGGGTCACCAGCCCCCACCCTTCCCCACTGCCTCTGACTCCAGCAGAGCTTTGGCCAGCGGTCCCAAGAACAGACAAAAACAGACCCTAGAAAAGTAGAGACAGACGTGACTGCTTCCCTTGAGGGCCCTGTCTCCCCCATCAGGCTGGGGCTTCCCAGCTAGGCCTCTCCCCTCAGACTGGTGGCCTCAGCAGCAAACACCCCACAGATGAGAGGTTCCTTGACAGAATTCCGTAGTCTCTCCTTTCAGAATGGTCATCCCGAGCAGACAGAGACTGAAATGGGCACCACATATGGCCAGGGCCCTGGGGACAGGAGAAGACAGAGGAGCCCATCCTCCTGGATGCTTCCAGAGGAAAACCCTCACTTCCGGTCTGGAGGACAGCCCAAGCTGCGGCCCAGGACTGGCTGGGGGTGGGGGAGGCTCAGGTCAGGCCATCCCAGCTGCTGTTTGTTTTCTTCCTTCTGGGCTCCTTCCCAAAGCAAACAAACCAGGGTGGGAAAATGAAGGGGACTTGGAGGAGAGGGAAATGCAGGGCCA